CAGCAATGTTCAATAGAAATATAATGTGAGTCACATTTGTAAATTAAAATTGTCCGGTCACCACACAATAAAGAGATGAAATTAAATTTAATAATATTTTTATTTAGCCTAATATATCAAAAGTATTCTTTCAACGTGCAATCAGTATAAAAAATTGAGATATTCAACATTATTTTTCATACTAATTCTTGGAAACTTGGCATTTATGTCACACTACAGCACATCTCAATTTGGACTAGCAATATTCAAGCACTCAACAGCCACATATGGTTTCTGGCTACCGTATTAGACAATATAACTCTAGAGAGTGGAAATGAACAAGGAAAATTGCTTAATTTAGTAGAAGTCCAGAAACTCCGATGTTGTAAATACAGTATCTCAAGGGTCTGGAACAGACTTTAAAAATCTCGAGTCCTAATATTAGCTTGATATTTTAATCTTTTCTACAAATCAAGGGGTCACCCAGACTAGTGCTTGGCTCACACTTCCAGAGATAATGAGCTCACTGCTTCCTGAGGCGAACCAGTCTATTTGGGGGCAATCTTAACTCAAAAAAGTCCTTGCTAAGGGCACAAACAGGTTGTTTTATGGTGGTCTGAGGAGCTTAGTTGGGTTAGTTGGGCTAGGAAGTACTGGGGGAGTTAAGAACTAAAAAATGGGCGGGTAGGTTGGGAAAGGAACTGTTAGACTGGGTGGGGCTAGACATCTGGTTCAAATCGTCAGCTACACTGCAACAGAATTAACAGTCAAAAAAAAAAAACTATGCATATATGCTAACTTCACTAATCTGCCAGTTCAGTAATTTCGATAATAATTTGATATTTAAAATTTTTCACAGTAAAATAAGACATAATTGGGTTATAATAAATGAAGGAGAGTACATTGCATTTAATCTGCAATACAAATAACGTTACCCTAAATCTTAAACTACTTTATTACAAGAACTAATTTTCAGATCCAGAAATCAAAGGCATTTTCAAAGGCTTATTCCCTCTCAATTTTGTTTTAACCTTCTCCTTACTGAAAAACACTCTTGGAAATCAGAGACAGAAAACTTTTTTAAATTCAGTAAAAATGACACCTACTGCCTGAATTAGGGTGAATTCTGATTGGGTGGCTCCTGAAACAATACATTTTTGCTTGTATTTGCATTTCTGTGCCCCGTCCCCCCGCCCCGGTAGTGAGGTGTTCTTTCTCAGGCCACCGTCACGCTCCCACCCTCCCCAATTCTACCTTTCCAAGGCAGGGGAAGGTGCATCCTCGCCAGGGCTCCTGCCAGCGCCTCCCTAGTACCGCTGGCCAGCAGCCGGTGAAACGGCACACCCTGGACATCCATTAACGTATTATACTACATCTCTATCCCCGCGGAAGCTTCTCAGGGTTGTTGACTGCTGCCCCACGCTCCGCCGCCCGCCTATACACTGTCAACCGCACTCCCGGGGAAAATTTTGAGACAGAAGCTCCACCCATTCTCTTCCCTCCCGTTTCCACAAAACCAGCTGAACACCGCACCTCCCGCCGCCAAAGCGGGTTTCGCCACACAATCTGGGTAGTATATTTTTCACAAGAAAACAAGTATCAAAAAAAAATTCAAACTTCACTCGCTGGCCAATGGGGAAGAAGCGGGAGGTGGGCGGAGGAAGCGGGTGGCGGGCGGGGCGCGCGGGGGCTGTACCGCAGGGGATGCGTAAAAACGCGGCGGGCGCTTGGTTCGGGGCTTTTTTTCCTCCAAAACCAACTCAGGCGCGAGACTACGCATGTAGCTGCAGCATCTCGGGTCCACCTTAAATCTTCAGTGGACTCGGCGCAGGGGTCAGTGGGCGCAGCCAATGCCAATCAAGTTTACAACCACCAGCACGGGAGAGAAAAAAAAGAGAGGAAAAAAACAATCTTCAAGTTCTCCTGTCCACACACACAGACGCGCGCGCGCACACGCGCGTGCACACACACACACACACACACACACACACACACGCATACAAAAGGAAGGAGGGGTGGAGGATAGGTGCGCGCGCGCGAGCGCGAGAGAGGAAATGTTTGTAAAACGCTGTCTGGAGCCTCGGTGGCCGTGGCCCGAGCGCTCTGGGAAGGCGCGCGGGAAGCGCGGCCCGGCGCGAGCGCCATGATGGTGGCCGCGGTTCGGAGCCCATTTTCTGGCGGAGGAGCTGCAGTGATGCAATCCCCCGGGCCGGGCCCGCCGCGCGCCTTCTCCTTGCCTTTTCTTCACGTCCCTTTTGAGGCGCGTCGATGTTTAGCGCCCAACCCAAGGCCATTTCTTTTCGTATCTTAGTCTCTGATTCCTGCCTACTCTTTGTCCCCACGCAAGACAGGCCTGGTTCGCGGGTGGGGACACACACACAGACTTGAGTTTGCGTGTAAATACAACATTTTCGGTTCTGGCGGGTCCGACCGAGGCTGACCCCACCCCATCCCAACCCCACGTGAGCCAGGATCCCTGAGGTTCTCCTCGCCGGGAGGGGGGTTCTTAGCATGACCGTAGGTCTTTTTTCCCCACCCCACCCCCGCTTCGCTTGCAGGATTTTTACCTTCAATTTGGCCAGGAGGGAGGGGAGTGAGCGTAGGGTGTGGCTCAGGTGAAAGAGATGGCAGTTTTTTTAAAATGCATACTCTGAAAAACAGACCGGAGAGCTTAGACGAGCTCTTAAAACACCCTTTTCTATCTGAAAAACCTTATGAAGAGCAAGTGTCGACGCTAACGATGATGAGGATGAAATGGCGAAGGCAGCGTTCCACGCCGCCGGGAAAGGTCGCTCGGCGCGGCCGGGGTGGTGGGCGCACGGTGGCTGAAAGGCCGCCCGCCCCGCTCCTCTTGGTTTCCACGGTACCCTCCGTCCCCCAGTCACGCCCGTGGACCCACATTTTCCTAGCTCTTTCTAGCCCCAGTCCTCCGTGCTGGGTAACGATGGGGGTACTTCGCAAACCGGGTGGAAGGGAGGAAGCGACCCCCGCAAGCGGCGGTGGCGCTCGGCTTTCCGCGCGCCGCTGCGGCCCTCCTTTGCGCCAGCGAGCGAGGAACCTTTCGAAATGCGCGGGGCTGCGGATCATTGGAGCTCGGAGTGGGGGTGGGAGCGGGCTGCTACCCTGGAGGGTCCACGAATTCCGAAAGGTTCTCCCTTTCGCTCAGATCCCCCCGCTGCTCTGGAGTTGGCAGGGTACCGATGGGGAGGGTCTGTTTGCGGAGAAGACCGGGGGCTTTCGCTTCCTAGCCCAGAGGACAGATGATGAGGGAGGCAAGTTTCTGAGAAACCGTCCAGCCCCGCTGCGCTGGCCTAGGCGCAGCCGTCCTCAACCGCCTGCGGGCGCCCGGGGCGCGGGAACTGGCGCAGCGACCTGTGCGGTGCCGGAGCTGCAAGTTTCAGATGGGAAACCAGACTTGATGGCTTTTTCTTCCTGAGGCGCCAGCCAGCCCGACCCCGCAACTGACGCGGCGGGCGGGCGCCGGGCCGAGGAGAGGTTTGGGGAGACGACGGCGCAGTGGCCTGGGTAGCGGGCAGTGGGTGGCTGCTGCCGGCTGCCGGGTCCCCTCGGAGGGACGCCCGCGGCTGGCGCCTCAGCTCTGCGCCGGGGAGAGGACGCTCCGAATTGCGGGGACGCATTTAGAGACTTGACACAGAAATGTAATGGATCAACCCGGCGACTTAGGTACTGCGTTCCTGTGAACGTGTCTGGCGCGGCCAGCATCCACTGCTTCCTGGCCCAGCACTCCTAAAACAATCTCTAAAAATTCTCGTTAAAGATGCCTATTTAGGAAAGGAAAATGGGGTACATGCGGCAATTAAGAGGATTTTCCCCCTCTGTTAGTGACACTTTTTAAAAAAGACCCATTTTGGCTCAGAGAAACTAATTTTATTTCATTATTTCCTGACTTTCGACTCCTTCCTCCCCATTTTGAATTGTTTTTCTTGCTTTCTCAGTGTCTTCCTGAAAAACACCCTGTATGCGTGTTTTGAATAGAATCACAAAAACACCTTTTAGTCTTTAATTAAAATAATACCTACTTGGAAGATATAGCCGAGCCAGCAAAGGACCTACTTTTCTTTTCCCGGCAGCTGTAGAGAGTCAACCCTGCTTTAAAAAAAAAAAAAAAAAAAGCAACTTCGGTCAATATAAGTTGAAACTATCTTGTTGAGAGCCCCTTTTTGGGGTGCAACAATGTAAATGTAACTATTTGCGGGAAACAATTTAACCCAAATTCAGATTTTCGCGATTTAACTATTTGTAGATTCCTAGAAAAAAAAATTTACTTTTACACCTTAACCGCATTTTTTAAGAGAATGTGAAATTACAGGAATCATTTCAGTAAATCTGACTTTAAAATCTTTTTTTTCTTATTTAAGTAAAAAATATCTTCTGCTATATGGATATGGAGACTGAAAACCCTCAGATTTGTTATTTAGATAAACCAGTTTCTGGCTGTATATATTATAATCAGGAAATTTAGGAATTTGTGTATGACCAGCTTAATTTGAAGAATACCTATTTTATCTAAATTAGTGTGGAATTTGTGCCATTTTCTAAAGGACCTATATATCTGAATATTTGGACAAGAGGTATAGATTACATGGTCCAACCAATTGCTCTAATTGCTCACACTTTGCATGTGTAAATACAGAATTTAGAGAAGTCACCAATGTTACTTTCATTTTCAATCCTGCAAATGTGTGATCAGTGTACACTTATATAAGAATTTTCAGTTCTGACGCATTCATATCCTAGAAGACAAATATTTGAACTAATGGAGACTTTGACAACCTTTATATGAATATGTGGCTTTTCTAGTTTTTATCTCTAAAGCTTTGTCCACCCATACAGAACTATGTGGAAAATATTGACTACTACCTTCAGACCTACATAAACATCATCTGTGTCATGGGCCTGAATTATCTAGATATTTGCCACGTCATATTATTTTTGTGTAAATTTGGCTAGAATGCCAGGTCGAAATACCTCAAGCTTAGTAAAGCACAGGACAGCTCAACTCAATGAATAGCTATGGAAGTTTTCTTTATTGATTGCTTGATGTGTAACAATAATTGGTATCTTTTTCACACATTACAAAAAATTATACTTGGCTCAGTATGCAACCTTTTAAGCATAGCCATATTATTTAACAGAAGAGGGGAAAATCTACTCTACCCAATACAGCATTTACAAATGCACAAAACATGCCACTTTGGCTTGTATATTGTCTAGATTAAAAAAAAAAAAAATCTTTTTAACATAAATAAGTTAGTATAATTTTTCAGTGTCTTTACAGAGTTATGTACACAGGTACACTTCAAATGGTTTTGTTTCATACAAATACACAGGCAATGTAAAAATACTGTTTAAAGATGTAGTATCCATTTCACTTATACCACGTGGTCTTTTCTATACACACTTTCCTTTAAAAACACCACTTTCTTTTGGTTTAACAAATTAACAACTAGAATGAGAAGCCTTAAATTTAAAAGCATTTCATTAATGTGAAATTAGAGATCTTTAAAAAATACCCAAGGATTTAGAATTATTTTGACTGTCTACACAGCCCAAAATGAAAAGAAAATTCAGAAGTTTTCTCAACAAATCTGATAAAAATTAGATGGTTGATTCTGAGCATTCAGAACTACCCCCATACACCCCAGATTTTTGCCCAGAATTACCTAGAGCGATTCCCTAACTGCTGAATAATTAACTGGTAAATTTCAGTTTTTAGGGGTTTGGGGGGAGCACTAAGTAGGATAGTTTTGTTTTTTTTTAAAAGCCATCTGCTGCTACATAATGGAATGATCAGAGCTCCCAAATGAGAAAGCTTTGTGTAAAAATAAATAGCAATTATTTGTAGCCACCGTTCAAATTTGGATGATTAAAATGAAGTATCAGTTCTCACTGAAAGGGACATTACATCTTTAAAGAATACAATTCAAACCCTCCCCAAGAACTGCTTCTTTTCGTGCAAGTCAAATATTTTTCTCCTTGCTCTAAATTAAAGCAAGCTCCCATGCCAATTCCTCAGCCCCACCCTACCCTCCCTTCCCCCAAAGTTTATGTGCTACATAGAAGGTAAAAACTATTTACACACAGGTAGTACAATGAAGCAAATAAGGAAAAACCTAATTGCACAATGCTACATCCAATGCTTTTAGAGGCAGATCATTTAAGAGTGCCTAAAATTTTAGTGTTATTGTGTTGTTCCTTTTCAGTGCTTATACTGGACTTCCGTTGCATGGAGTTGGTGATACATATTCAAAATTTTTAATTCATATCTTCCTTGCTTCATCAAGCCATGATGTATCTGATAAACAAGGAAACATACTCTCATTTCTGCAAAAGAAACAAGAAGAATTAGGAGAAAAGCCCTAGAATAACATTACCAATAAAGTACAGGAATTATTTTGTCACTTTGTAGTTGGGAAACACCTGAGAGACGGAAAAGAAAGTACATACTAAAAGTTGATGACTATAAACATCTACATCCAACGTTTCCTTCACTGGATTTTTGCTCTCCTCTGTGTTGTGTACTTTTGTCTACAGTAGTTGTTCTCAAGACTCGGCAATTTTGCCCCCCACGGGACATTTGGCAATGTTTAGAGACATTTTTGGTTGTCACACTGGGGGAAGGAAAATGCTGTTGGCATCTGGAAGAGGCCAGGGATGCTGCCAAACATTCTACAATGCATGGGACAGCCTCCCAAAACAAAAAATTATTTGGACCAAAATGTCAATAGTGCAGACGTTGAGAAACCCTGGTCTAGAGAATCAGGGTCAAAGATGGTGAGAAAGAACAGAGATAGGAAAATTAAGAAACTATAACACTTAAGAGTGGCAAAATTTCCTAAATTTGAAAAACAATTGAAAATATAACATATAAAGGAAAGGCTCTCCAAAGAAAATTCTATTAACATTTCCCCCCCCCCAAATATTCTAGTTTCTTAGTCATATGCAGAATATATACATGAATGCTTCTGAATAAGGCATTACAACTATTTCTAGTATTCTCTGAACTGGCAATATTTACTAACAAATGCCTCTCTATGTCAGAATGGGGCCCGGTCAAAATCCAGTCTGAGTCACTGTGGCTCATCTGATGAGCTAGGCCACAAGTCACAAAACAACAATAGCTGAAGGTGGAAAGATTACATCAGAACAATTTTTCATCCAATTTTCCCACTTCATGTACCGCTGTAATATAAAGGTTCTATAGTGCTATTTTATATAAGCTCTGAAAATCAGATGTATGTTGTCATATATGTGACATTATGATTTAAAAACAACAAACGAATCCCACCTTAATCCCTATGGTTCTTTAATTTTTTAATTTTTATAAATGAGGATTTAAAAAGTTAATAACATCTATTAAGATCTCTTTATATGCTAGGCTACAAGTGTGTTTTGGAAAAAAAAAGGTCACAGTCTTGTCTGTAAGAAGTTTACAGACTATTAGTACACATACTTTGATCGTTATGGATAACCAATCCATGTAAAGCTGGGGGCCAAATTATTCAAATTAGCTATTCATGTTGATCAGATTTTAGTAGATAGAAAAATCTCCACTACCCTTGTGTGGGGTAGATCCATCCTGCTGGGCCTACTATCTACTATCCATTTCCCCTACAAACATCCAAATCATCCTGTTATAGTAAGATTAGCATACACATGCTGACGTGTTCCTGGATTGCTTACTCTGGCAGAGTTAATTTGACTTCTGCTTTGCAAACTTCAGTGTTATCGGAAATTCTGTAGGAACCTTAGTATTTTTAAGCTTTCTATTTTGTTTTTTTTTAATATGAAGGAAGTTTCCTTCTCTGTCCCTAAAACTTACCAGAAAATAGGGGAAATGTTACGAAAATGATAAAAATAAAAGAACACAACATACCTCTCTTTACATTCTTAACCGTTTGATTTACCAAATATGAGCCATTTGTACCTAATGATTACCTCAAAATTTAAATTTAATCATTTATTTGCCATTTTTTCACGTATGGCCCAAAATATGTTACTGACTCAACTTGGATCTCTGGGAAATGAATTCTCATGAAGTGGGACCGAAGCAAACCCCAGTTCTTGTTCAGATGGGGAAAGAACCTATTGTTCCCAGTATGTTTTGGTGAGACTCACAGGGAACTGACCTACCCACGGGGCCCTGGTTACAAGTACTCGCCGGGAACATTTGCTCCAGTCACTTTGAGTTTCAAGGGAAAATGATCTCAGGACGTGGAAACTGTTTAGAAAGATAGTATCCCTATAGTGATTCCCAGCCTTCCCAATTCCTTTTTTTTTTTTTTAAAGTTCCAATTCCTACTTTTTTGACTTCACAAAACATAAAACAAAAACCCACAAGCACTAAGCTGCCAACAACCACTGAGATGGGTATCTTGGGGTCTGAAAGCCCACGGAGTTCCTGCAGCCCAATTCGGGTGTCAGTTTTTTGCTCCTAGAAATCAACCCACCGAGCAGTTTACGTTTGACGTCTTCTGAGGCCCGGCTTCTTGGGCGTCTGCTCCACCGAACCTGCGTTTGGGGAAGCATCTGACACATTTTCTTCTGTTCTGTTGGCTCTTTTGTTTTGAGGAGAGGCATCTAAGGACAAGAAGGAATTTTTTAAAAGAACACATACAAACAATCTTTATCAGGAAAAAACAATGGCTGACAGAAGTTGGCCCAATAGTCAGAGGATGAAAAACCCACCACCTCCACCCACAATCCTGGACCCGTCATTCCGAGTGGCCTTTAAGGGCACAAAATGAGGTTGTTTTCACATAACAGTGTTTGCTACGCCCAAAGCTCTCTCTGCATAGCGAAGAGAGAGGCCGCTGATAAACATCCCAACGTAGTCACATACCTACCGCCGGCTAGCCGGGGGAAAGTGCGATGTTTTTGGTTAGTGAAATTATCAGATAATAAAATCTCAGGCCTCTGACTTACAAATCATAAACAGACAGGCAGTCAGATAGCACTCACAGCCTAAGATTACGAAAGTGCGCTCCCAAAAAGCTACATCAGAATACGCCGAAAAGAAAGCTGAGAGTTTAAGACCCCCCAAGCAGGCAAGACGTTTTATGGTTTTGAGAGGGTCATTACCGTCTGTTGCAGGTCGCTTCCTTATCCCAGTGCACGGCTCGGCTAAGCCCGTCTGGCTGTCCGATGCATCAGTTTTTTGGTCTACCAAGTGCGTGTCCTCTGAGTTTGCCTGAGACCCAATTAAAGGCACCGCCTGGCGGTTCCCGCTGACATCCTGGCTCTCCTGCGCGGGCACCTTGCAGGCGCCTTTGGGTGGCCGCGGGGGTCTGTAGTAGAACTCGGGCAAGCTACTCTTTTCCACCTCCTGCCACTCGTATTTGCCCTCCAGGGGCTTGTGATTCTGAAAATCAAAATTCCACTTGCGCTGGCTTGCCTCTTCCATGTCTCGGCAGTGCTTCTCCAAGTCCCGGGTTAACTCTTCGTGATTCACGGGGCCGAAGAGGTTTCTGCAGGCGGAGGGCTTGGGGTACTCCGCCTGTCTGGCGTCCATCCGCTCCAAGCTCGGACTCCCGTTAGACACTCGCACGTTTGACATCTTCCTCTCGGGTCTTTACAACTGCCTCTCGCGCGCTCTCGGAAAACAAAACCGAACAAAACAAAACGCCCCGACCCAGCCCGTACCCCTCTTATAAGCCCTGCGACTGCCCTGGAGCCAAGAAAAACAAACCCCGACAAGTAACTGGCGAGCGTCAGGAGCGCGCTGGGTCTGGGGAGGGGTGAGGGGAAGCCCGGGCCAGGCGGCCCAAAGTCTCCACAGATCAAGTGTACAGGCGAGCGGGAGGGCGGGGAGGGGAGGGGAGAGGCAAGAGGCGGGGGTGGCAAAGCCAGTCCAAGTCCAGGCTGGTGCAAGCCCGCGGGTCCTGCGAACCGAGCGGCTCTCCAAACCTTGCCGGCGTCAGAGTCGCGGAGCGGCGAGAAAGTAGGGAGAGGGGAAGGGGAGAAAAACACCCCGAAAAGACGAGCCCCCTTTTTTTAGTTGCCCAATATGGCGGTGGAAGGGAGGCTGACGAAGAAGAAAGTGATTGACACCGCAAGTCTATTTAAACAGAGGAGGAGATCCATTGGTCGCGGCGCCGGGAGCCGCCCAGCCGGGGCTGGCGAGCGCGGCCTTAAGGTGGCCCGGGCGCGGTCCCGCCGCCTCCCCGCCTTGCGGAGCGCGCCGACTCCGAGGGCGCCGCCGGGAGATTGGCTGGTCGCGTGATTGCTGGAGGTGTACTGCTGCCAACAAACCTGCTCTGGCTGGCCTCGGAGAAATTAAAAATAAGACAAACAAACTAGCCAAACGGCCGGGAAGCTGGGGAGGAGCCTGGGCGGCGGGACCTTGGGTTCTGGTCCCGGCGCGGCGCTGGCGGGCGCGCTGCGGTTTCGAAGCCCAGACCTCCCGCTACTCGCCGGGGAAACCGAGGGGCTGAACCAGAGGACCTCGAAGGTTGCTGGCAGCTCGTTGTGCGCCTCGGCGGCGATCTTGTTTTACCCGCACTGCGGGCAGCTGCGGGGCGGAGGCTGAAAGTGGAAGGTCTGCCCGCAGCTGGGCTCTCGCCCGCTGCCCCAACTTCTTGCACTGCGGAGGAGGCGGGGAAATTTTGGCCGAGGGGCTGGGAGCCCCCCTGCTTGGGTGCCTTAGCCGGGGGTGGACAATGGTTAGCTCACCCCTAACCTAGACGTCTCTGCTATTCTAGGGGAGGCAGGGGGCTGAGAAAAGAAGCCAGGGCGAACGTCTTTCTATAAATTAGCCTGGAGTAGGCGCAGCATTTATAATACTGTGTACTCTGAACCTAACCTCTCCATCAATAAAAATAAGATTTCAAGATAAAAAAAATCGACTAGTCTCCCAAGTCTCTAATAAACTTGGTCGCTGTCTCAGACATACATAGTTTTCGAAAGCGAAGTTCTATCCCGGGCCCAGGTTCTTGCTTCCCAAGCACAGTTAAGGCCCTTGACATGGGCTGCGTGTGGGAACTCGCCTCTGTATTTTTCAGTTCTTTCCCAGGTTGTAGCCGTCTCCTGAGTCCCACCGCCAAATAACAGCTGCTTCCTCCCCCTACCTTTCTCTCCCACCAGATTCACTGCTCCCTCCTACTCAGAACAACATTCAGATGCAAGTGATATGCCTTTAGAGGGTTACAAGTAGTTGAAGGGTGAAAATAATCTGAAAGTCCAGATTACAAAGTGATTTATAAAACCACCACAACCATGTCTTCCCGACTGATACTATTCAGGCATTTCTCTGCTTCCCTTGGCAACCTGAAATTTACCTGTCAATTTGGTCTTGAGCGCAGCGGTGGAAGTTGAAACAGCATGGGCAGGGCTGTCACGTCTCAGACAGATCTCAGTGGGTCTTCAACTGCCTCACTCCCACCCCACTCCCCCAATACATATAATCTTGGTTTGGGCCAAAGTTAATATATTTTACTAGAAACTGATTGATCTTCAGTTTTAATAGTCCACAGCAGCGATGTTTTCTTATGCATCTATGCTAAAGATGAGTTTGATTTTTAACTTGTTTTCTTAACCACATATTGTTTGTCCTCTCTGTGTGTCTGCCTCATCTCATACACTCCAGAATGTTAGAGCTGGAAGGGACCTTCGGAACCCTACAGTTCTCCACTCTCTTTTTACTGCTGAGGAAATTAAGACTCAGAGAGGCGGATTCCCATCCGAGAACACATATATCCAGTCCATAGCAGAGCTGGGATTAGATCACAGGTCTCCTCTCTCAGGCTGGTTCATTTTGTTTCTTTCCTTCCTGGTGGTCCCAACTGGTTCAGGTTTTTGTCTAGATTCACCTGTGCTGTAATCTGCAGGTCCTCCTCTCTTACAAATGATCCAAAATGGCTTCTTCTCATGTCTTGGGCTGCCTGCAGATGTTTCCTTGATATGGCCTGTGGTCACTGATATTTAAATGAAGCTGTCACTGGCCTTTGGTATCACTATCCTCTAGTTCAACTAAAATGCAGATTCCAAAAGGACAGGGGTATTACACAGAGAACAGTGAGGGAGGCAGTATCCAAAACTTGTTTAAGAATCAGGACTTCCTACTTGATTGACAAAATATTTCACCTGAGATCAAAGTAGGCCGTCTCAACTTATTTTTCTACTTTTAATGCCCCCACTTAATTTACTGGATTGGGGAAGACAGAGAAAGACACAGGACAGTTAAGGTAGGCCTCAGTCCCATAATTTATACCCCATCCCTGAAATTAGTTCATTATTGTTGAAATTTTTAAATAATTGCTGGACTACACAGGAATTCTATATTATATGTAAGCATGTATTCATATGCATTCATTCACAAACCACTATATATAAGTAAATGGAGATACTCTGGAGATATTACACCTTGCCACAGAGTTTGATTTTATTCATGGAATTAATAGCCTACATAAAAGTAGAAAAGAGATACTCCCTGTACACGCTGTATCTTTCTGCAATTAATATGTAGGAGAATCATTTTGTTGCTTTGTTAATCTTGAAAAGAGTCACAGTCACACCACCTTAAGACATCTGGCTGCCAGCAGAAAGGCTGTGCTTACATTGACCTTGCTATGATCTAAAATGTTTTGTTTACAGTCAAGGCACCAGAGAACTGTACAGCAAATAAAGAGAAGGCAGGCGTCTGCTGTAGTAGCAGCGAAGCATAAAAAAAATACTATGGGTCCCGGAGGGAAGAGGGAACATGTTGATCAGAGCGCCATCCTCCCGGAGAAAGTAGGTGACTACAGAAGAGTAAGGCGGGGAGAAACATTTCAGATAAACAGTGTAAAGGCGGAGCCTGGGTAGAAGACAGAAAGTTCTATTCTGCACTGCTCTAAAATGGGCTCTGCTTCCCCAAGACCCAGCAGCTAGTCCTGGGTGTTTTCGTTGTCATTTTTCACTCCTGGTAGTTTCTTACTTAGAGCTGAGAAATGCCCATAAGCCACCCAAGATTTCTGCGTCTTTCACAAGCTGGGGAGAGAGGCAAAGACCAAAATAACTTAAAAGAAAACACCTGTGTGGAAGACAGTGTCCAAATGGCATGGTTTGAGCAAGCAGGGTGGGGTTACCGGGCTCCCAGCTGCAGCCCTCTGAGGGGAAAGCTGTGCAGCCCCAATGTCTCCGCGAAGGTACACATTGCCTTGCTCAGCTGCCCCTCCCACCACAAGTACACAATTTTAATCCTTCCTCAAGTATGTTTATAATAAGGCAGCTTTCACTCAATTTCACTATTCTCCTGAATTTAGACGTATTTTTAGAATTTGGAAATTTCAGTCATCTTTTGCTGACACTTTTCATTCAATTAAACAAATATTTATTGAACACCTATTAATTTGCTTATTCTTACTTCCTTTCAACAAATATTTATTGAATGCTTTCGATATGCCAGGCAATATCCTAGGCCCTGGGGATACAGAGGTAAACAAACAGACTTAAATTAGGATGAAGCTTATATTCTAGAAGAGGGGTAGAGAAGACAGACACACAATAAATGAGGAAAGTCCATTTTATATAAGGAGGTGAAACATGCTATGGAGAAACAGAAAGCAGAGGAGAGGGA